ACTTCATCCTGTGATGGTTGTTTGGTTGAAGGGAAGATTTTTTTTTACATTTTTTTCTGATTTTTTTCCCTTTTCCATCATTTCATTTGACTCATCAGTGAATTATCCAGCACTACATTATTTTTATTCCTTGAAGTGCTTCTGCTTCTTTCAGGTGCATTTATTCTGTCCTGTTCACATAACTGCTCTGCCACCTGAGAAGTTTGGTAGATTGGTGGTGGGGGGAACAAAGTCAGAAGCCCAATTCTCAAAAGGCTGAGACTGAGAATGAAGTGAGAGATTTAAAGGCATGAAAAAATACATGATACCTGTAAAAAAGAAATCGTAAAGAAATGTTGAATTTGCGGTATAGTTCTTAAACATTAAATTTTAAATGAAATAGTAAATATTAACAATATACAATTGTATTAAGTATATGACAAATTAATAAATCCAGATCCAAGATATAAACAAGAAAGTAAAAGAATTAGTCATAGGTAGAATAAACATGATATAATTCGTGTTTTTTATTTGACACTAACAAACATAATTTAATACAAGTGTTAAATACTCTGTAAACATTATTTATGTCTTAATAACGTTGATGATCATGGTTTATTAATGTTAATAAATTTAGTATTTAATTTTCATCAAAGCATTACTAAAACATTTACAGCAAAAGAAGAAAGTAGGAAAGAAAATGCAAAAAACTTATTTAAATACAAAATACCCATTGATTTGCAATAAGCCTACAAAACAGAATATCAATACAATGTTTAATTATTTTGCCTGTCACATTTAACAAAATGTGTGTTCTAGTTCAGCATACCTTAAATAGTGTGTGTAAAACATAAGCAGACATCAGCCTATCAGGGAGCTATAGCATTATTAAGATTAGTCTCCCATAAGGAGAAAAAAAAATATATATATATATATACATATATACATATATATATATATATATATATATATATATATATATATATATATATATATATTTCAAATATATTTATGAAATATATCCATCCATCCATCATCTAAACCGCTTATCCTTCTGGGTCGCGGTGGGGTGCTGGAGCCTATCCCAGCTGTCATTGGGCGGAAGGCAGGATACACCCTGGACAGGTCGCCAGTCCATCGCAGGGCACCAGTCCATCGCAGGGCACCAGTCCATCGCAGGGCAATGCCCTGCCCTGCGAAATATATTTTTGCAAAACATATGAAAATGGCCAAAAATGTATTTCTTAATATTTATTTAAAATGCACTTTTTAAAATACATTTGTATTTATTATTATATTTTTCAATTGTATGTAATTTTAATAAAGGTTAAAGATGTAACTAAAGATGTAACTGAATGAACGGTACTGACTTCTGTGTTTTGCATTGTACTTTGCATTACGTCAAATTACATTTTACAGTGTATCAATATCTACAACAATTGCTTTTGTCTTGTTAAAAGTCCATTTACCAACATTTACAATTAAGATACTGGAGTACAAATTCATTTCAAAAGATACAAATTCACTTTAAAATGTTTCCAAACAGTAAAGTGCATTAAAAGCATTTTGGTAATTTTCATACATTTTCAAATGTACATCATAAATACATTTACTTACATGTATTTTTCTATAGTACATTTCCATATGTAATATTTCCCCAGAAATTTTAACATAAGTGCATTTTAAAATATATTTACTAACATTATTAACATGGCAATATATTCTGAAATGCATTTTTGTGTTTGGAATGTATTTTGGCATGGATTGCAATTTATTTGAAATGTAAATGTAAAAGTGACGGAGAAGTGGCTGCGCAGAGGCGGTTGCTAATAAATGTGGCCGCGATGTGGCCATGATGTGGCTGCTCAATGTCGGCAGCAAATAAAACCCAGACAGCGAGCATATCGGTCCACAGACTTGATAAGGTCGGCACACCGCCGGCTATTTGCCACTGCTGGTCCACCCTTGGACTACCCAGATTATTGTACTACATACAGAGCTTTTCATTTTAGATAAATAAATTAAGACAAATATTACAAGCAAATAAGAGAAAAAAATAATGACTAGGCCTAATGTGAAATGATTTTATAGAAAATGTTGTTGCTGACACTGTTAAAATTATTTTACTGATGAAAATGATTTACTAAACTAATTTATAATGCACTAAAGGAAGCTAGTAATGTAAATTGGACTATGAGTAGAAAATGAGCAATAAGTGGAGTTTTGACTATTACTCTGCTTAACCACTGGTGGGCCGCCCAGAAAACGCTGAGCAAAACGCCAGTGGACCACCAGCTTTGCCATCAGCGGGCCAACAGTGGTCCACTATCCTTTTACTATCAGGGAAGTTCCCGCGATGTCGCCGCGAAGTGGCGGCCGCTAATAAAAGTGGCCGCAAAGTGGCCGCTTCCTGCTTCCATAAGAGCAGCCACTTCCGCCTGGCACGCAGAGATCCAACTCCTACTGGGAAATCCTGAAGCGCACAAACGCTTTAGAAAGACTAGAAACGCTATACAGCATTCTCTTAACGTGAATACATAATAATGATTATAAACAGACATTTCTGCCATATCATTTACATGTAATGGACCTGATTGAAAATCACATTTATTATGAGAACGAACATGAAAGCTTTAATTTGGGTGACTTACCGTGTACAATACTGAAATCAGTGTTGTACAGGCTAATTTACACTGAAAAGGCATATCCAGCATTACATAAGCGCTCAAACGTTTTAGAAAGGCTAGAAACGCTATGCAGTATACTCTTAATGTGAAGACATAATAATGATTGTAAACAGACATTTCTGCCATAAAATACCCTTTCAATCCACAGAAACTGGCATAAAAGAACAAGCAAGCCTTAACTTGTACAATACTGAAATCCTCGTCAAAAAAAGCTAAGATACACTGAAAAGATCGTTTACTGCATAAAATACCCAACCCGGTATCACGCCCCAGTGTGTAATACACACGTTGGTCCACTTGGGGGGCACCGTGTCAGTGTCACGTTTTTGTGTGCCTGAAACGTGAAATGCACACTTTTTTATTTATGTTTTAAACAATGTACAAACAGTAATGGTAATGCATTGCACACCTGTTCACTTCACACAAACCGTAGCAGTCGGGTGAAATGCACACGCTACTGCAGTCTGCGGGAAACTGGAAAAATACCCGTATGATGACGACTGACGACGGCGGCGAACGACATAATCACGCTCTGCAACTATCGCGTTCATTCTTGGTCAGGTAGGCGCTCGGTGCGGGTATTGTTTGTAAACTAAATACAGCATATAAACTTTGTTTGTTTTAGTTCATAAAAAGAGGACATGTTCCGTTGCTACAGCAGTGGGTAATTTATGTGTAAGTATGGATAGTTAGGTGGTAACCTAGGCTAACTAACTACCTTGCTAGTTCGATAAGGTCGGCGTTAGCTAGCCAATTCGAGAACTGGTGTTGCATCCGATTTGGTTTCTCTTCAAATTCACGTTCCCCTGATCAGTCGAAGTTGCGGGCACGCGCATCCACACAGCACTAAAACAACGGAAAGCGAGAAGAGTCAAAAAGAATTACGCCTAAAATTAATAAATCAATCGGCGTCAAAGCGCAGTTTTACAGCCTTCTTGAACCGTTTCGCTTTCCGTAGTGGCGGTGTTGTCTGGTCAGAGAATTTGTAGTGAAACCGGTTCGGGTTTGGCATTGAATTTGGCTGCGTTCGAGACCCCATACATATACTACGGTAGTGAATGGACTTCTATTGGTCGTGTACTATTTTGACACACTGTTTACTGTGTTAGTATGCGGTTTTGGACGCAGCCAGTGAATGCGCGCTCCTGAGAACTTGACCCGTGAAGGGGAACTGATTTGGATGCAACACCGGTATCTACCGGTAAAGCAACTAAATACAGCACACTAACATTGTTTTAGTCCGGAAAATTGAACATGTACCGTTGCTAAAGCAGTGTGTAATTATGTGTAATTATGGGTAGGTTAGTTAGGCGGTAAGCTAGTCTAACTAAAGTACCTTGCTAGTTCGATAATTAGTTAACTAAGGTAGGGGTTAGCTAGCGTCAACTAACCAGCTAACCGCGTTTGTAGATAGACAGCCATACTATTACTTAGTTTCCTTATCTGTTTTGATAGCCTGCTTGAAAACTAGTTTGCTTAAGTAACGTTAGTTAGCTGTCATTTACATGCTTAAGTTATTACAAAACTTTTTGGTAATGTTTAATGTCACCTGTAAGTTAAATCATCAGTATTGCAAACCAGAAGATTATTTTTCTATCTTGCTGCTAACCAATGAACATTGATTTGTTAAAACAACTATTCAGTTGACATAACTCTGTTTGCTTGGAATGGTCATATAACTAGAGTTTAAGGTTAATATTTCAGAAATTTCCATGGTCATGGTTTGATGTGAAGTGGTTTACTGTGGAAAAACTTACTGCCTCTGATTTATTTATGGTATCAGTTATCAGGGACGGGGGAGCTTTTAAAGGCATTAAATTCTTTGGACATCTGGTTGCTGTCACCACCATTGTGAACAATTGGTCATTTCATAGTGGTGATGGTGAAACTAAGTTTTTCTAGAACAGCGCATTTCACAGCAAAGCTCTTTGAATGACTTTGTTTACATTTTCACCTTTTAATTCATAGTCATAAAAAAACGCTCTTTTAGAGTTCTGTCTATGTCACTCTCTGTTACTTTCTTTTTCTCTCTCCTGCCAACTATACACAAATATGCATTTTACAAAACAATAAAACACACACAGCACTGTTGGTCTTTTCTAGAAGCTCTATTGTCTTCTAATGTACACCAGAGTCTCTCGTTCTTTCTCTCTCTCTCCTCTCACTTACACATACATGCACACACCATTTCTCTTTCATCTTGCCACCTCTTTCCTTCATTGTCCCACTTACATTGCTGTTCCATATGTACTTCCTGGTTTTTGTTTGTTTTGTTTGTTGTTTGTTTTTCCTACTTCTCTGATGTTCTTCATTCAAATTCTTTTTCTCCACCAGTCTGCTGTTAAAATGGCTGCTCGCCAGGACAGTGGAGAAGCAGAGGATGTTATGTTCCTTACAGACTTATTTTTGGCTCAAGAGAAAGTGAGTATTTTAAATGAGCAGTTCATTTTTACTTCACAAAAGGAGTTAACACAGATTAAAAAGAGTAGAAAATGCTATGTAGCTTTAGTGTTATAATGTTGAAGCCTGCATACAGTGTTCCCTGTCTGTGTGCAAGGCAAAGCAAGAGAAAGCTAAACGGACATCTGAAGGTAGCAGATTTCACATACGGTGGGTGGAGAAAGATGATGAAAGACATCCACTGCAAAAAAGAAGCAGAAGTGGACAGACACGCAAACGGATTTCCGCTTCAGGTTTGTTGATATTCATTTGTAAATCTGTGTGCTGCTATCTGTTCCCATTTTTGGAAAACATGAGCTGAGCGGTAGTTCAGCACATAGTTGCATACCATCACCCCACCACCACCATTTTGAACTTGGATTTGCAGTGCCAATATTGAATCACCTTAGGAAATTCTTTTTAGTCCAGGAAGAGGTTTAGTCTGGGACAACTAGCCCTATATTTTTAATATTTAAGCTGGCTGTGTACTCTAAACAATGAAAGAACTACACAAAATCAAACTGCCAAAACGTGGCTGTGTATTCTTTACAAGAGCTGTGCAAGTCTGGGCAACACTAGAGGTTTTGTGCTGTGACCCAAGCAAGCATGTGATACCACATAGACAGATCACAGCCAAGGGGAGGTCTCGGAACATACAACATAATGAGTCTTGTTCAGCTACCCGCCCACACCGCACCGTATGAACACAGTCCACCACGTTATATTGGCAAAAAAATGCGATGTCGCTGCAAAACATTGTTTTCTTATGAAGTATACTGCCTATTTTAATAAAGACTGTAACAGCGGGTTATGCTCATAGATAGGCTAACATGTATTTTTCCTACTTCTTATATTAATTTTTGATTGTCTGCATCTGTTTTTCCATGACTTCAGAAGCTGCCAGTAAGGACCTGAATCGTTTTGAGATGACTGAGGAGGTACCTGTACTGTCAGAATCATCAACATCTCAGTGTTTGATTGGTGAGATGATACTATGACATAACAATTAAGCAAGTTAACAAAAAGTTTAAAAACAATGTCTTTTTATTTTGCTCTGCTTTCATCCATGTCATATTTTTATTTATTTCACACTTTTATTTATTTCATAGTGGCCTAGATGTTGCTGTAGTGCTGCAGAATCACAAAGGATATTTTAATTAGTTCTCTGTTTTGGTTATATCCCTCTTTTAGACAGTGAGCTGGAGAAACTTTAGGATGTTTTGATGTAGGTTGATGTCAACTGTTCAGTAGAACATCCATCAACATCCTCTTTATGGAACTTGCGGCAGGCTGTAGCCAAAGATGAGTGGCGGAAAGCAAGGCCGTACCACTTGGACTGCTTGTTGTCCTCCAGAATGGTTCCAGAGAGAAATTGCAGCTACTGTTCATCTCCTGCAGTCATTCGTTACAGAGATTGCATGCCAGAAGAGTGGATTTGTATGGAATGTGACATATCCAGACACAAAAAACTTGTACTCCATAATAGGGAGTCCTGAATAGATGGATTTTACAGGCCCATAGCACCAACAGTGTGCTTTGTAAAAGAAAATGGCAAATGTACACAGTGCAGTCAAGGTAGTGGTTTAAGTGTGTGTAATGTTTTTTTTGTTAATATAGTTTTTGGTTAAATTTTAATCAGATGTTCATTATTCTTTTCAACACATCTCTTGCCTGCAGTGAGACCTGTCCGTCTGTGCTCCTGTGACTCCGCACACCTGTCAAAAGCTGCTGGAAAGGCAATAATTTTGGTTTACATAAATGGTATGGATGCTTTATTACTTACTGACTTACTAGCTTCTGTATTTAATTTCATTTAAGGTAATACACTATATGGATAGCCAACTTGAGATGTTTTGTAAAAGCATCTTGCAGCTGTAACTAGTTGCTTGAAAAGCAACTGAAAATTGAGGTAGGTCACTCCTAGCCCTACTCTTTCTTCTGATGGTCACCAAACACAAACGCGTTCTCACTAACTCTGAGCTGGACACAAAATAACACAGTAAACACATACACACATTGTAACTGAAGAACAACACAACAACATTAAACAACAGCGTAAACAGTCTGTTTAGCAGGTGGGGGAGGTCCAAGGCTACAACACACAACCCCAAAAGTCTATCTCTGTCTGAACAAAATATTTTATGAATTATATTATTAATTTTTTTATCTCAATGTTCGATCCATGTATATCAATGTTCATTCCATATATATCAATGTTCATTCCATATATAGCAATGTTCTTTGTGTATATATCACAGTTCATTCTATATATATCATTGTTCATTCCATATATATCAATCTTTGTTCCACTGCGATATATTGAATGAATGATGATATATATACACAATGAACTTTGATATATATGGAATTAACATTGATATATATTGAATAAACTGTGATATATAAAATTAACATTGATATATATTGAATGAACTTTGATATGTATTGATTGAACATTGATATATATACAATGAACATTGATATATATTGAATGAACATTGATATGTATACAATGAACATTGATATATATCGAATGAACATTGATATATATACAATGAACTTTGATATATATACAATGAACTTTGATATATATGGAATGAACGTTGATATACATGGATCGACCATTGAGCTAAAAAATTAAGATCATTTTTAAAATGTTTTGTTCAGACAGAGAGGGCCTTTTGGGGTTGTGTGTGTTGTAGTCTTGGCCCTCCCACACCTGCTAAGCAGACTGTTTACGTTGTTATTCAATGTTATGTTGTTGTCCTTCAGTTACAGTGTGTGTATGTGTTAGTGAGAGTGCGTTTGTGTTTGGTGACCATCAGAAGAAAGAGTAGGGCTAGGAGTGACCTACCTCAATTTTCAGTTGCTTTTCAAGTGACATTGTTTTCCCTTGCTCTCAATAAAAGAGCATTTTTCAAACAGAAATTATGGCCTCATCTGACTCTTCTTCTGCACCATGTCAAATTATGTACATATTGAAGATCCACCCATCTGTAGCTTCACATCATATATCAGCCACTCTCAGATCCCTGTCCAAGGGATCACTGTGTATACATACTGGTCACTTTATCAGAATACCCTTCCTTTAAGCTCCACCTGGAGTTTGTTAATGCCCATTAATTGACGCACAGTTTTTGTTGGCCATCCTCAACCCTTCAACAGCGACTTTCATTCAGTATATCTCAATGTTCATTCATTATATATCAATGTTCATTCCATATATATCAAAGTTCATTCCATGTATATCAATGTTCATTCAATATTTCCTGTTTGGCTTGCCATATATATATATATATATATATATATATATATATATATATATATATATATGTATATGTATATAGGCACGGCTAACCCCACATTCCAGACGACGGGTGCTACAGATGTGGGCTCTTGCTGAATGAGGCCAGAACAGCGGTTGCTGTTGCTACTTACGTAGCGTTTTTTTGGTTTTTGGTCCAGCTTTTTTTTTTGGTTTTTGGTCCAGCTTTCAGTTTATTGGTGACATAACCTGTTTCTTTGAATTTGGCAAGAATTTTGGCAGCTGCATTGTGGGTAATGGGAAGCCTGTTTGGGTGGTGTTGGTTGAAATCTTCTGGCAAGATATGCGCTTCGTTCATGGGAAAACAGGACAGGATCTCAACATGTTCTGCTTGGGATAGCGCCATCCTTTACATCCTGTACAGAAGAAAAAACACTGTTTTAACATGAGCATGAATAAAGTTATGTTGACATGAAGCACACCATTGTTTTTCTTTTGAAATTCTCTGCTTGTTTCATGTGTCGCACACCTAGTTTCCCATTTGTAAAACTGAAGCTGAATCCAAGATGGCAAGATGGTGGCATTAAAGATGGCTGCCCTGCTGGTCACATAGCCTAACAACTTTCCTCCTTCCCCCACAGCTTGCATCTGCAATTCAATCACCCATCATCTGCCAAACCATTTTTATTTTAAGTGGGTGTTTCCTTATTTTTGAGACACTCTGTGTGTGTGTGTGTGTGTGTGTGTGTGTGTGTGTGTGTGTGTGTGTGTGTGTGTGTATTCATTCATTCATTTATTCATTCATTCATTCATTCATTCATTCTTTCTTTGTAGGCATTTTAACCTTAACTGAGGAGGGGCAGTGTGGGCTACTGTGCCATCTTCAAGAGAGGCTTGCAGACGTTGAGCAGAAAATCAAGATTGTTTCATCAAGGTACAGCATGGCTTTAGGACCAAATGCTTTGCTGTTGCCTGAAGATGGTCCTGAGGAGACACCAGAGGAGGAGCACAATATGCTTCCATTTGATACCTTGGATGACAGCGACTTGGAAGACATATAATAATTCTGAATTTCACACACAAATTACTACCCTGTGTCAGGTCAACTTGAAATTTTAATTTAAAATGGAAGCAAACTGGATAGGCTGTTCAAACTCATGGTCTTTTTTGATAATCTAGTAATTAGACAGTCATAGCACTCAGAAGCCATGAAGTTGCGTAAAGGAAAATTCCACTGCCAATTAATTTTGAATGTTTGTGTAATTTGGTTGCGAAGATGTAGCAACCAAAGAAAGTAGTTCTCTACTCTAAAAATAATCACTGAAACAGAATTGTTCACAGTGGTGGTGATAGGAACCAAAGGTTTGATGCCTTTAAAGGTTCTATCACATAAAGTTATTACATAAAAAGGCCGGGTACATGTCAACATTGTTTTGTAATGATTTTGAGAAGCCTAAATGAAGGCCGAAAATGTGCTTTTTTTGTTTTTTCTTTCTTTCTTTCTTGTGCACACAAATACCATGATATAATGTCAGAGTGAACAATGACACAGCAAGTAATGTAACGTTAGCTTGGTTGTGGGTTAGCAGTCTTGACACTACAGTTGCTGTTGTGAAGCTAATCAGTTGCTATCACAAACATTCGCAAACAAGACAAAACAGTACTGACCTATTCTGTGAAACAGCAAAACTGAGTTAATCTTGCCCTCTTGTCCAGCACGTGCAACCTCCTCATCCTTTTCCATGCATTTCAACTCTCAATGATGCTGAAGTCGGCTTCTTGTTAGAATTTTTCCCGTTCCACTTTACAAGGTGCAGCAGCTAGACTACATTCCAGTGCCTCAGCTTCTAGTTCAAATTTTCCTGTTACACCTGAAGTTGTACATGCACGCTGTGTTGGCGGTCACTGCATTTCAAAGGGCAAAAGAAAATGCGGGGAGAGCCGAAGTGTTCACAGAGTGGCCTGCGTGCCCTTCCCGGCTATGTAAACAAAACAGACAAGCTCAGATTCCACACACACACAGGAGATATGTCTCTCTTGAATGTTACCAACACAGAAAAGATGATTGTTGACTTCAGGAGGACCTGAGCAAATGCCAGCGGCACTGCAGTGGAAACAGTTCCTGGGAGTACACATCACCAACAACCTATCCTGGTCCCTGAACTGCTCTTCCTCCTCAGTGAAGAGGGCACGACAGTGCCTGTACTTCGTAAGGAGACTAAAGAGGGCCGGCATGTGCACACCAGTTCTCAACTGCAGAAGCATCATAGAGAGTATCCTGTCCTGTCGCATAACTGTCTGGTATATACACTCTGCCTTCTCAGACAGGAAAGCACAGGAAAGCGGGTGGTTCATTACTGGGTTAAGTTTTCCTGCCTTCAAGGACATCTACACTGAATGCAAGACATACAGCATCAGGAAAGATCTTTCTCACCCCTTACTGTCTGAACACTTTCTTAGAACTTTCTTAGAAAAATGATATTTTTTTCTGTGCAATGTTTAAAATGTTCTCGTCACTTCAGCACTTTATCACTGTTCACCAATGTCAAGTTTACATTTTCTGTTACACTGTGCAATATTATCACTGAGAACAATGTGCAATATTTCTTTTTATATACATATATAATTTTTTGTCTCTCTTTTTCTATGTTTTATGTCTGTCTATGCTGTCTAGTATGTCTGTGCAATTGCCTTTTATGTTATGTTTGTGTATTTTTGCACATCTGCGTTGGGGAAACACAATCTTGTTCAGCCTTGCACTGCTTGTTGTACAGTCTGAATGACAAACTTGACTTTGACATGGACTGTTTACACCCCTCCCATCAGGTCCTCTATACTCACAGTTTCATCCTGCAGGCAGTCAGACTCCTAGAAAGTTCTGTATGATGGACTTTTAAACGATTAGACTGAACTGCTGAAAGGCCTACACTTCGCTTTCATTTGTTGCACTACATGCATGCCGCCCACTACACAAGACATTGAAATGTACTTTTTTGCACAGGACATTTTATTCTGTTTATTAGTCAGTGGGTCTTAGAAATCATTGCTGTGATTACAGTATGTTTGCATACTTTATTGGACATTGGTTTGTATGGTGTTTTGTCCATATTTATTGTCTTGTTTGCATGACTTACAAGGCTTACAGGAAAACTCCACCATATAAATTTTATTTACTCCTAGGCTGTATTATATTCTTTCATTGTGTTGTAGTGTTTAAAATGATTTTTATTCATTATCACTAAATTTAATATTGGTATATTTTACATCCAACATGACACAGTTTAAGCCTTGAGAATGTCTCTTCTTTTTCCTTTTATTTCAAGTAGTTTTTCATAGTTCAGTATTGATTTGCTGTGTAGTTCCTTTGTGCAGGAATGTTATAATAAATGAGATGTTAATGAATGTCAGCACCACAGCATGAGGATTTTTCTTTCATAAGGTCTCATCAGTTTTGTGTGTGCATATGTGCATAATTTACAGGTGTGTAAACTATTCAGTACAAAAAGTCAGTAATAAAAAGACCATAAACTAAACTATTGCACATTACTGTAATGCCCTTTAAATGTGAATTGTTCCTTACCTTTTAGTATTACAACTTGTAATTATTTCTGAAATACACATACAGTCATTATAGTGACAATCATCACCTCTCCAAAAAGTCAGACACTCTACTTTTGCACAGGTGTACTCATGGCACCATACAAAAGATCCATGCTTTATTGCTGTTGTTTGTGGCAGACATGTTGATTGCTGAACAAGCTTAGTTCTTGATGGGAATATCTTAAATGCATCACAAGCAAAACTGATGAATAACCGTGTGGTCGGTTGGGGTGAGATTAGTCTAGGCCTTTTCTCCACTTCAAGCTAAGTCAACGTTTGTCATTCATTCTCCTTGCGGTCATGTGTTGAGAGAAAACTGTTTCTCTGGAACATGCTAAATTTAACACAGATCAGCAGCAGATATAGTGACAAAAATACAACGGTCAATAAGTAAAATTCCATATAATAAAAACAGTATAATAATACAATATGTTACACTGTATTGATACAACTGGTTAGGATGTTCACTATGTTACCAGACAGTGATGCTGAAGGTCAGGATGCTCTGTGATACCAGATGCTCTATATTAGATGCTCTTTATTAATCTCACAACGGGGAAATGGGATAGCACGGCACTTAGGAAAGAAACAAGAAGAGAATTAACAAAGTACTTATCCTTAATACTTCACAAAAATAAACAATCTAAACAATTATAAATAAAAAATCAAAAAATAGGTAAATATGTAAGGATATTTACCTGAATTGCACATGGAATATTGCAAAAGGAGTATTGCACATGGAGTATTGATTATATTACATGTGGGAATGGTGATGAATTGACAATATAAACATTATAAACATTATAAACAAAAAAAAATCTTTACACTATAGAGACATTTCACACATATTGCACATGGAATATTGATTATATTACATGTGGGAATGGTGATTAATTAACAATATAAACATCATAAATAGAAAAAAGCAAAAAATCTTTACACTATAGAGATATTTTACATGTATTCTACATGGAGTATTGATTATATTGCACACAGGAAATGGTGATGTATTCCACAGTTTATGTTCTGTAGGTATGTGAGGTCTAATGGGGGGTGTGGTGAGGGTTCTACTGGGAGCAGTGCTGGTTGTACAGTCTAACAGCAGCAGGATGGAAGGACCTGCAATAGCCTCCTTCACACACTTGGGGTGAAGCATCCTGTCACTGAAAGAGCTGCCCAACATGGATGGTAGTCTAGCTTACATCCTCCTGTCGCCCACCACCTGCACTGGGTCTAGGGGCTTTCTAGGACAGAGCTGGCCTTCGTAACGATCAAAAACCGACATTTATGCAATAAAACAAGCTTTATAGGTAATGGAACAAACAGTAAATCACATTTTGTAAAGAAAAAATGTGACTAACTCTACAATCATGAAGTCCTGGATTTAGATGTTTCTTCACTCTGAAAAGGCATTTCCAGCAATCCACAATCGCTCAAAGGCTTTACAATAGCTGGAAATGCTATCCAGTATTCTCTTAAGGTGAAGACACCATTATGATTATGAACAGACATTTCTGCAAAAAAATAACTTTCATATACAGTGGAACACACCATAAATCACATTTTCTTAAGAAAAAATATGACTACTTTAACTTGGGTGTCTACACTTGTACAATCATGATGTTGTTGTTTTAGGCGTTTCTTCACACTGAAAAGGCGTTTCCACCACTCCACAAGCGCTGAAATGCTTTAGAAAGGCTGGAAACGCTATGGAGTATTCTCTTAACATTAAGACACCAATATGATTATAAACAGACATTTCTGCCAAAAAATACCTTTTATATAAAATGGAACACACTGTAAACGCTTTAGAAAGGCTGGAAACGCTATGCAGTATTCTCTTCATGTGAAGACATTTATAATGACTATAAACAGACATTTCTGCCATAACATACCTTTTTGTCTCCAAAGCAACTGACCTATAATCACATTTTCATGAGAAAGAACATTAAAGCATTAAGTAGGGTGACCAAACCTGTACAATACTGAAATCATCCTCATATACGCTAAGATTGGATTCCAAATTTGAGTGCAGGAAATGCCTTTCCCCTGTAAACAAACGCCTGAACTACGATTTCATGATTGTACAGATTTGGTCACCCAAGTCCAGTGGGTCAGTTCCTTTGGAGACAAAGGGTATGTTATGGCAGAAGTGTATGTTTCTGATCATTATAATGAGTTCACGTTAAGAGAATACTGCATAGCGTTTTTAGCCTTTCTAAAGCGTTTGAGCGCTTGTGGAGTGCTGGAAACACATTTTCAGTTTATCTTAGTGTACATAATGACGATTTCAGTAGTGTACAGGTTTGGTCACCCTATGCTTCGGTGTTCCTTCTCATGAAAATTTGATTGTAGATGGGAAGTGGGAAGAAACAGCGAAAAACCACAACATCATGATTGTGCAGGTGTAGTCACCCAAGTTAAAATAGTCATATTTTTTCTTAAGAAAATGTGATATTCGGTGTGTTCCACTGTATATAAAAGGTATTTTATGGCAGATATGTCTGTTTATAATCATAATGGTGTTTTCACGTTAAGAGAATACTGTATAGCGTTTCCAGCCTTTCTAAAGCATTTGAGCACTTTCAAAATGGAATGACTCATACTGGGGACTGGCTCAGTGATTTCATTGC